GTGGGAGACGGCTCGTCCTGTTCCCCGTGCATGAGTGCTCACCCCTGCCTTCCCTCCCGTCCCCGCCAGATCGCGGACAAGCACAATGCCTACCTCCTCTCTGACATGGCCCATATCTCGGGTCTGGTGGCGGCGGGCGCCATCCCCTCCCCCTTCCCGCACTCGGACATCGTCACCACCACCACGCACAAGTCCCTGCGGGGTCCGCGGGGGGCGATGATCTTCTACCGCAAGGGGGTCCGGAGGGTGACGAAGAAGGGGGTGGAGATCCCCTACGACCTGGAGGAGAAGATCAACTTCGCCGTCTTCCCCGGGCTGCAGGGGGGGCCCCACAACCACACGATCGCCGCACTGGCAACGGCCCTCAAGCAGGCGGCCTCCCCCGAGTTCAAGAAATACCAGGAGCAAGTGCTGCAGAACAGCAAACGGCTGGCGGAGACGCTGACCAAGGCCGGGTACTCCCTCGTCTCGGGCGGCACGGATAACCACCTGGTCCTGGTGGACCTGAAGCCGCAGCAGGTGAGGGTGGAGGGGGCGGCGAGGGGAGAGGGCGGGAAGAAGGGCGGAGGGCCGGTCCGGGCGTTCACGGGGTTTTTATCGCCGAGAAAGGCCGGGAAAGCCCGGGCAATGATTAAGGCGACGTCCTCTCACATGGTTCTTCCTTCCTTTCCATTTGTTCATCTCCAGGTGGACGGTGCGCGCGTGGAGCGCGTGATGGAGCTGGCGAACATGGCGGCGAACAAGAACACGGTCCCCGGGGATAAGAGCGCCTTGACGCCCGGGGGCATCCGGATCGGGTGCCCGGCCTTGACGAGTCGCGGGTTCACGGAGGAGGATTTCGAGCAGGTGAGCATTGGGGGGGGGGGAGGCAGGCTGGCTGGTGGCGATAGGGGCACGCGCGGAGGGGATGGACGGCGAGAGGGAGAAAGGGAGGGACGGAGGGACAGAGAGGTGATGGTTGGGCGCGAAAGAGGCGGTGTGATGAGACAGAGGACACCGGGTCTCACCTTGCCTCTCCGGGCTCCCTCCTCTCCAGGTGGGTCATTTCTTCGACCGGGCTGTGAAGATCGCGCAGGAGATAAAGAGGGAGACGGGCCCCAAGATCAAGGACTTCAAGGAGGCGCTCAGGGAGGGTCCGGGCAAGCACCAGGCCCTGGTCGACCTCAAGAAGGACGTCGTCGCATTTGCCCAGAAGTTCCCGACCGTGGGCTTTTAAGTGGGCGAGAGGCAGCGAAGGAGGGAGGGAAGGAGGGAGGGAAGAAGGGAGGGAAGGAGGGAGGGAGGGAGGCAGGGAAGGAGGGAGGG